AGCTACTTGGTAATGCTAATGCTTCATATATTGAAATTATCCAAAGAGCTCAGTCAAAAATACTGATAACAATAACTGATGCGCCCTGGTATATTAGTACCCACAGAGATCTACAAATTCCCCTAGTTAAACCTGAACTTGTCAACATAAGAAAAAAATACAACAAAAGACTGACAGAACATGTTAACCCTTTAGTAAAAAATCTCACACCTCTATCCATTACTTCACACCTATAAAGAGCTGACCGTCCAGCCAATAATTAATATTTAATAGCTGAAGTAAAAACTGCACCTGTCTTTCTAGTAAGCTGATGAAGTTGAACCGCTTTCTTAATAAACCACCTAACATTCAATCCAATGAAATTTAATCCATTGATTTAAGTGAGGTTCGTGCTATAAGTTTTACTTATTTTACTTATTTTATTTTATTTTATTTTATTTTATTTTATTTTATTTTATTTTATTTTATTTTATTTTATTTTATTTTATTTTATGGATCTATTTTTTATAGAATGTATAGTTAAAATAAAAATTTGTAATATTATGTAATTAGTGATAAGATTTTACAACTTATTGTTAGTCTCATTGTAAGAGAAGACGCAATAAATAAATGTGTTTAAAAAAAAAACAAAAAAGGTTTAGGTTCGAACTTCAACCCAAATAATAATAACTAAAAATGAATACCAGAAAAGTAACTTTCGATTGTTAGTTCCTTACAAAATAAAAATGAATATAATATAAAAATAGCAGACAAATGTTGAATATATAAATATTATACATATATATATAAATTCAAATACATAATATATATACAAATATTAAATATATATAAAATGTTAATTATTAAAGTCATATCCTTAAAATAAATTTTTAAAACTATGTAAATGTGAGGAATGGAACATAAAGGCCTCTCTATTCAAGTCCTTTATTAATTCAACATATATGTATGAACAAAATATTATGCTTCGTTAACTTACTACTAGTAGCTTTGCGGGAGTCTATAATACCATACAGCTATCATAATAGTTAATGCCTATTTGATTGATTTCGCTACTGTGATTACCACGAAAGCAAATTTGCTCCATTTGATCCACTACGGCACAAGGTTAGGTGCAGAAAATTTAACTTTGCCAGTTATAGTAATTGGTGACTGGCATTAATCACTCTACTGCTCACACTTCACAGATGCAATCTCGACGTTTTAACACAACATTAACCTGCAGCTCAGAAAATGTAACAAACTGATGTACATATATGTACGTATGCACTATAAGATACTCTAGAATATCAACTGTTGACGCATATACATTCACAGAGTATTGTAACAGTACATATACATATAAATGCAAACGCCGATGTTGAAGAATGAATATATTAAAATCAGGCGTGAGATATGCCGTTCAATTTGGCCGCTAACTTTTGAAAACGTTCACTACCATCGCACTCAATACTAACCCAGTTCAAATACACCAAAATATATAAAAATATGAACAAACCGTGATATCCAAAACGAAAGCTCCTAACTTAGCATGAAACAAAAAGTGACATAGTGTTTTTAAACCTCACAGCATATATATTGTACAGAAGCAATCCATTGACCATTGACTCGATTTTTGGTTATTTATATTACAACAAAAACACATCATCGCTGCTACGATGCAAAATGCATCCGCTCATCCTATCAAAGCTTTCATCACACAATGTCAGTAGCAGTATGAACTGTACAAAGATACTTACTTACCATTTCACTCCATACAGCCATTTTACTTCATACAGCTACTGAATAATTGGACATTTAGCAGGACGGGATTGCCTAAAGTTATGCCTGCGTCCATTGCACAATGATATCGCAAAAAGGCTGGCATTTTATTATATCAGAGACATAGATAAATCGTAATTGTTGCAATTGCCAACGGCGCAAACATATACAGTGCCAAGCACAAGCACTGATATTAGACGGATGAAAGATGAGGCAGGTCACACCACAGCAAGCCTGGTTTGGCGGTTGACAATCAACATGGAATCCTTCCAACAATGTCACGTTCAAGGCTTTTATGACTACAATTTGCGCAAAACAATAAACATTACGAATGTGGGGAATTGCCGTGTACAGAGAACTAAAGCCAGCAGAAAATTAAATACATTTTTACTTTTTATTTTTAACGACAATTTTTATTACATTTATAATTTTGAATTTGTAGTAATTAATTTAATACAAATAAATATATAAAAAAGCAATAACACTAACCAAATCACAACAACAACAACTAAATACAGTATGTTAAACAGATCTAAATAAAATACGTTCTTAACAATTTTATCAGTAAAGAAAGATAACGCCATGCATATGTAAGATGTTTTCCAGTAACATTCCGTTTCCAAACTAAAATATATATACATACATACTACTTAGTTTTAATTGTGTCTATTGTCAAACTGATTAATTTTATCAGTCAAAATTGACCACTAAAACTCAAATCAAATATAAGATGATTTATAAGATAACTTAGGTCGAACAACCTACAAATTGATTAAAAATCAGCTGAAACATTATATGAACTACACAATATGCAGCAATACTTTCAGCTAAGGTATAAATAGTCCCCACATTTTTCAATTGGGGTCACTTATTTCGAGCCTTGCAAGGTAGTAATATATCTTATCTCTTACTCTGAACAAGATATTTAGTAATAGCATCAAGACAGTTAAACATTTTGACCAATAGAACTGTATTCAGTAATAACATCAAGGTAGTTATACGTCTTGACCAGTAGAACGTAGCCAAGACCCCTTATAGTTAGGCAACTATACGTCGTGACCGTGATAAATACTAGTCAAGACTGTGATCCAGCTTAAGAATTTCTAATTACAGCTAACGACGTCTTCTCCTCACACTAGGACTAACTAGAGGAATATCGCCGAGAGCACAGACACAGCGATCAGAGTGGAGACATTGGTCTAAAGTTTATCAAAAAACATTTATTGAAACTAAGGCTCAGTTTTCAGGCAGTAATCACACTCATCAAACTATAAAACTACTATTATGTTTTATTGGAATACCAAATTAGTATAAGAGCAGCGTTATGCAGACAGTTATGGTCACGGCAAATGTGAAAATATTATTAGTTTCAATGTGAATTAAAAATTTAGGTATAAGAACGAGATGACTAGGCTATCTGTAATTCGTCACTTTAGTCAAAACAGTATTACGTGATAATAAAAGTCAGAATTTGTGCCATTTTGAAGTAAATATGGTATGTATTACCTTACAGGTATATTTGTGTAAGAATTTTTATAGCTGAAAATAGAATTAATTCTTAATTTGTACAAAATCAAGTAGATTTTAACTTGAACAGTTTACCGTAGCACGGTATTGTGCAGTACAAACTAGTACTATTGTGAATAGATTTGAGGAATGAATGAAATTTTCATACAAAATGAAACAAAACTGTTATTTATCATATGTTTATATCACAAGAGCAAAGTAAATAATTTTTTAAAAAATAGTTAAAAAGTATAAAAAACTTACAATAAGTAAACTTTGTGTAATGTAAATATGTATATTTTTTAAATAAAAAAAAATAAAAAAAAAGTTCATTATTGAAGTGTAAAACATGGACAAAGACAATTAAATAAATAATTATATATAGAAATGTGTAATAGAATTAATTAAATCGTTATTTTAATTTAAAACATTGTGCAAAACATGTAGTTTTCATAACGTATAGCGCATTTGATATATTATTTTCACAACTCTTCTAATTTTAGCTAAGTTATAATTGATAGCGCTTTGAGTTGTACTTTGGTTAATGTAATATGGGTAAGGCTTCATAATATTTTCCGAGAATCTGAACCAGCGTTCATCTCCAATGATGAATAGGAGTACTGAAACAATGTAAGTATCCTCGCTCATGTCTTTCAGAAGAGAATATGATATTATATATGGTTTAAATAAAGATTCCTAAGAAACTTTGGAATCAGTGCATAGATCTTGGCTGCCCACATTTATATTAGTAAAACGATATCTGCATATTTAGTATTCATTAAACAATTGTTGGAAACTACAACTAATTTTTGTACTTGTAGTGTCAATAAAACGGTAGAATTTCACCCTTTATAATTGAAGTAATCTGAGGCGTCTTGTCGTGGTGGATAAATTTCTACAGGACAGCCATTTCAAGAATTTAAATCTAAAACTGTTAAAAAATGTTCTTATTTATTTATAAAAATACATACCCATGGCACGAATGCATTGAGGAAAACCTAATCTACAAATCCTTTAGATAACTCCTCAAGTTTTTCTGCAAATTTTTTTTAATAATTTCGGCGTTAAAACTCGAAATATTTTTACTTAAATTATTTATTTGTTGTACTATAATCAAAATGTTTGCTATACTCGACATTTTTAAACTTTGAACCATCTGAAATTTTTTCATATGATAAATCTATCATTCAAATTACAATGATTTATAGTGTGAATCGATAGTTTTGCTTTTTGATTTCAGATGTCAGTTTAAAATGTTTGACAGTTGAAATTATAAACAAAACGCACGTGTGAATCTAGTATTAAACACAATCAAAAAGTGTTAAAATAGTACCAATAGTACGAAATTAAACGACGGTGTAAGACTTTAGTCTGTATTAAATAATGCACCTTTAAAAATCATACATATATATATATATATATAAACTTGTATATATAATTAATTAAAACTTTTTATGTATACAAATATGTTTGCAATTTATTTATATACGTATAAGGGTAATAAAGCTCAAATAATTATTCGTATATTATATATGTATAAAATAAATAACATTAACATTTATTTGAAACATATTATTATTATTATCTTTCATATTTCATATTCCTCAAGACAAGTTCTTTTACAACACTACAAAACGAGCAGTCAAGAACTATTAACTAAAATGCAATAGCAAGAAAATAGCTCATCCTAACCAGAAATACCGTTATTATTAGTTGTAAAATTTACGGACGTGGTAGAAGTATATTGAACAGTTTATAAGATAAGATATTTGCAAATAGGCTTTGTTTTAGACTTTAATTAAAAAAATATAGAGTATTGCTCTTCATTCAACAGAGAAATTTGCCATCTAAAAATCTCAGTAAGTAGTTTTCAACAAAGAGATATTAATGCAATACATATATATATTATTGATATAACCGTTTTGTATGAATACAAATTCATTCAGATAAAGGAAGACATAGATAGCTTCACAAAATTTTTATTTAGAATTATTGAAAATAGCTAAATAATAAAATACACAGAATGATTTCGTAATATCAAAAAATATGTCACAGCAGTTCACTACTATAGTAACATGTTTGTTAGGAATCGGGTCAATAGCATAACAATATTCAATAAATTATTGCTACTTGAATTGAAATAATTGTGGTGAAGAGAATTAATTACTTAAATCAAAAATGCTTACGCCACCTAGTGTATTTTTAATGTAGTAATTTCGACAGACTAAAAATTTAAGCTTGAATAAATGAACAAATGTTGTCTCTGTAAAATTCCTTGCTGTTTTTGTAGTAAAAATAAAAACTAAAAAAAATATATATATTTATATTCACATTTGATTTTTCTTTCTTACTCTTCTGTGTATAATAAAAGTCCAATGAATGATAAAATAAATAAATAAAACATTTAAACAAAAAGAATTCATAAATAAATATATTTTTTAAATAATAATATATTACAACAATAATTAAAAAAAATTAATTAAATTTTTAGCTAACTATATAGCTATTTCGATTAATGCCAAATATCCCTCATTAGTCATCTTTTTGGAAATATTTTTTATGTATTTTTAAATAATAATAAAATAAAAATATAATAATTTTTTGAGACTACAAGTACCAAAGATTATTTTGCCAAATAAATTTAAAATAATTTTATTGTTGCAATTCACTTCTTTTATATAGGAACTTTGTATTTGCTTTTTATTTCTGATTTGGATTTACAGTTGTATTCTACTTGAGTCTGGATCAATTTAGGGTGCTATTTGTTTTAGAACTATTTTTAAAAAATTATTTGAAAGTATTTATGCACTAACAAAAATTTTAAATTTTTGATTTTGATTTTATTTATTTTTAGTTATGCAATCATTAAAATTACAATTATTAAAATTATTTTAGTCATAATATTATTTTAGAAATTCTTTTTAAAAATTATTTATCATACCCTTATTTTTTAGTGTGAGATATTGTTAAACGAAGTTTATAAAAGTTCTGTTAGCTGCATAAATGATCTCATTATAATGTGAACGTTCACTCATTAATATAAATGAGCAAGTGTATAAATGAGATACTGTGAATGTACTATTAGAGTGAGTTCAATGTATATGATATTGTATCTTAGGTCTTGAATTGTGCATTGCTGCTCTTAATTTTCGTCATTGATTTGATGTGGCTTTGTCTTTTTAAGAAAATTATACATATATTTATAACCATTGGCTTCTTCTTCTGTCATCCTCATCTCCCAGTGGGGCATAGGGCCCCAATTGGCTAAAGTTGTCAAATCCCCCACAGTTAATATATATCGCGCAGTAACATTTTCATAGTAAAACGAGTCTCATTCTGAAATATTATTGTTGTTCATGTTCTTTGGCTTGTCCGCCATTATATCCCTTTTTAATATACACAATATTATGAAAGTGATATATTAGTCAACGTATTTCTTATCGGATCCTTTCATGAATTGTGTGCACATGCTAATTCCGTTGAAATACAAAATGTAAAAGTTTGTTATTTTAATATCAACTAACTTCATAAATTATGCAATTATTACAAATTATATAAAAGCGATTAAATGCTTTAAAGCCCTTAACAGAAACAAATAAGCACAGTAAAAAAATATTAAAGCCACCGCGAACCAAAAAAAAAAACAAAAAAACCATAAATGTTGAAAAAAATTTACATAAGCTTGCGTGAATATAAACAAAAACAAACATATTTTCCCAGCAACAAATGATCAGCAAATATAAATTAAAAATTATATATAAAAAACAAATATAACAACAACAATAAATGGTACGTATGGCAACGCTGAGATAAACCCTGGCAACAAATTTACAATAAAATGCGTTTGGTAGGATTATAAAGCATACGCTCAGCCAAACAAATGGACTAAAATAAAAACAATTATTATGGAAAGGAAGACCGAAGCAGCATCGACTGAAGCAGCAGCGATTGAACAGACAGACTCAGAAGCAAAGTCATCAATGTCGTCCCTGTGAATGGTGTGCGAATAGTGAAGTGAGAACGAAATCAAAATGACAACAAGAATAACAAAAACTCGCAGACCTGCTTAAAAAACACAGCCGCAACTGTAGTGTATGCTCGTACGTATGTGTGTGTATGTACGTGTGAATACGCCGTCGTTAAGTAGAGTGAAACACAATTGCAACAGCATAAAAGTAAAATAGCTGAAGTGCGGGTACAAAATGCTCAAAATGAGTGAATTAAGCAAGCTAACAGTAAAAACAAGAACAAAAACAATAAAACAACAACAACAGCAACAGCAACAACAACAACAACAACATTCAATGAACACTTTGGGCATATGTGCAAAATGAAGCACACACAAAGTAGCCGCAGACATAGTTGGATTGTCAAAAACGTTAGAACATTTTGATATTTGTGCATTTGTCGTCTACGTTCGGTACGAAGGAGAGTACAACAGAAAAAATTGGTTAGAGGAGACATTGTCCGTTGAAATGAAATCAATTATTCATTCGTTTACCCACGCATCTAAAAGTATGCAAAGCATTTTGTTTTGTTTATTTGCAAACGCGAACTGCTTTCAGTTATGCGCAACAGTTTGGGCTGTTCCAGACTGTTTGCGTTGAAATGCTCTGTGATTCACGTGCCATGGACAAATGAAGTTCTTTCATTCAGCACAGAAACGCAAACAAACTGGGGGAAGCAGTGGGAGTACAACATAATTCTATCGAAGCCATTTTGCACAACATTCTTCCTGTAATACCAAAAAAAATTGGATTGCAAAATATCTGCTTTAAACTAAGTTTCTGTCTAAATCAAGTTTCAAAGATATTTTAAAATATTTTTATATATTTAAATTATGAATGAAAAAAATAAAAACAATTACCTAAAGATAATACATGTAAGGGTACACAGTAACAAACAGCTCATCAAACACAATAAACAACTTTTTATATTTTAAATATGATTCATTCCAAGACTTAAAGTCAAAACCCAGTTTTTCTGCCTTGATTATCCTTTTATTTGATAGTTAAACTATTTTTATTCTCAAAAGAACTATTATGATTCAAAATCACTTTTTCTGATATTTTTTATTTTTTAAAAAAAAAATTATTATATAAAAAACTGAAGAACCTTTCCATGCAAAAAAAATTATTCATTCGTCATACTCCTATAAAGAGCCTACAGTCAATGAGTCATAATATCGTTTCAGTGACTATTATTCTTAAATCAAAGAATCATTTCCTCGAATTTCATAGTTCAAAGGAAATTACATCTAACTAAAATAGAAGAAAATCGTTTAGATTACACATATCTCGTAATTGTGCCTACAACTAACCTAGAATATAAAAACTAGTCGGACTCATTAATAAATGCAAGTATGCAGCCCATACTAATGTTGAAAATATCATAGAATATAGTAATGAATTGGGCGGTCAAAATTTTAACCATGATTCAAGAAAAGCCTGAACAAGTCCACAACAGTGATCCGGTGTCTGCTCTTCGAGCGCTTGTAGGCATAAACTTCAAAAAATTCAACGATTCTATTTTTCTTTAAATATTTTTTCAAATATTTCCATATTTTCCTCCTATTCTTTAGGTTTATTATGTTATTTATATAAATAATAATAATATCTATAATAATAAGAACATTAATAAGCGCCATGATTAAGTCAAACGCGAAATTGTTGTTATCTTCAATGAAAATTTATAATTGTACTCCAAGGCAATAAAGAAAAATTCAATTAAAAGATTTAGTATTTAGAAATATTTCAGTTCGATTTAACTATTTTGTAAATTTCTTACAGTGTATTCATAAATTAACCTTCAATTAATAAAAAGACATGCATTGCACCTACTCGTTGACCGCACTAACACAATTTCATCTAAATTATATTCGGTCTGGTTGTTGTAATTTTTTAAATTTTTTATTTTTATAATTTTAATAATTATAATTTGTATAATTTCATTTAGCTTACGCTTCTTTTTCTAATAATTTAAAAAAGTATTTGGTTTAACGAAGACTTACTCAACAATAGTTTTAAATTATTATAAATTGAAATATAAAAATTAATTAAATTACAAATTTAATTAGGAGTTAAAATTTGTTCTGATTTGTCCGTTTACACTTAAATTTCACATAATTTGCTTTGATTTATTTTATTTTATATATAATTAAACTTTATTGTTAATTTTCTATTGTTAACAGGTTTTGATCGCCAGTTAGCAGTATTGAGCGCCACCAAATCGTTGGTCGCATGGTCCTTCTATCGAAAATGCGGACATTTTACACCACGTTTTTCACTTGCGGGTACCGAATCAATCACCTTTCTAGCCAAAGCACTTACTTCCATTCACACGATATGACCAAGCTAGCGAAGCCACGGAATTTTTATGCGCTTAACTATGTTAAAGTCGTGGTATAGCTACTATAGCACATCGTTCCTTCCAATTCGATACTCGTTGCGTAACAAGTAAGGGACCATAGATCTTTGGAATAAAATTTCTCTCTAATACTCTTAATGTCTTCTCATCACTGTTAGTAATTTTTTAAGCTTTTGTACCATACAGCAAGACAGGTTTGCTAAGTGACTTGTAGAACGTGACTTCTGTTTATCATGAGAGAGATTTATTTCTGAATTACCTACTTAGCTTGAAGTGACATCAATAGGCAAGAGTGATTCTTCGTTTATGCTGGTTCACAAATAAACAAAGTCTTTCATAACTTGAAACGTATAATTGTCAAAAGTGAAGTGGGTCCCAATTCCAAATTGACGAATCAATAAGCTGTCAATTTTAATTTGCAAATTTTCGCGACTTTAAAGCAATAAATTTTGGTGTAAAGCGTAATAAATAAATGTTTTCAAATATATTTAAA